TCAGCTTCAAAAGGTTTTCTCGCTCAATCGTGAGGATTAGTGTTTATATGTGTCACGTAAAAGAAACCTACTCCTTCGGGGAGATTCGTTTGATGATGAAGAGTAGTAGGATCTAGGATGCATGTTACTTCCGATTTGAGAGTCGTCAGCCGAATATTCTTTCTTTCCAGTCAATGAAGCCTGCTTCCTGAATACACACGTCGATGATCATAATTTAATATTCGATAATTTTTTAAATGACTGAATTTGACACTTTTAAAGTGGTGGTGGAGAAATTTCTGAAGGTCTGGCAGTTAAATGAATCAGCGGTAAATCAATATATCGATCTAGATATAATCAGTGAAAGATTCAGTTTAAACACAGGAAGAACATTGGGCAAAACAATGTGGAGATCACTATTCTATTCAAGTAATTACTGTATCCCTAGTTAAGCATCTAGGACCAGCTGATCCATGCGAATAACACGTCACCTTCATGAGTTACGGTGGGGGGGGGGGGGAATGGGGAAACAGATTCGACATATTTCCACATACAGAACAATCAGAAAATACTCAGCCAAGTTGACCAGCAATTAAAGCGTAAGTAAACGAGTTCACTGAGTGTTGAGGTTTTCATTGACAATGATACTTAGTATGCCATTAGAACCTCTTTTAACTGAATCATCAGCTCGGAGACCAATCCATACCTGACAATGAACTGATATTCGTTGATTGCTTTGATTTGGGTCTGATAAATGCGTAGTAATGAAGCTGTCCAGCAACATGTCAGACTATTCATAGTAATGAAACCATGGAGTTCCTTCCTATTTTACTTGGTTCACTCATCTGCTTGTAGTGGTGTCCTCCAAATACGTCTCTCCCTTATTGATTTCTCTTTGATTTCTAATCGTCATCCAGGTCCCCCCCCTCGCCAAACACACATCTGCAAGACCAGCGGATGATTGCTGAACTGGAAGAACAAACTGGATTATCTGTTAGTGATGTTGAATCAACTTACTTTTGTTTACTGCATCCATGCTAGACAGAGTTCGGTTGATGTCCCTCTGTTCACCACACTGTGAGGACTGAGTTTTACGTAACTAGCAACTCTTTCAACCGGTCGCCCATTTAGTTACTCTGGTGTTCTAATTAGTAATCTATTGGTTGAATAATACAACTCATATATGACCCAGATTTCCTAGCTTCATTAGTTACTGAGTCAAATGAATTCGAAGTACTCCTACTAAAGTCAAGCTAGACAACATACTGTATGTGGTCATTCACTTTTAGTATGTCACAATTATTTTGTTTTGTACGTCTAAAAAACTCATCAGTAATATCTATCGTTTCTCTGTCCTTTGGAGAATAGGTGAATTTCACATTATTCACTACCTTCTCGACATGGTAACTGTTACCTTCCAAAGTGTTTGAGTTAACTAGCTCAGTAGTAAAGAGTTGACTGAAGAGGAGGGGGAGCGGGTAAAGGAGGTGTAGGAGAAGGACTAAGAGGAAGATGAAGAGGATAGAACAGCATCATAATAAAGACATTACACTCTGTCCTTTGACATCAGACATACAGGGTTTAATGTAGGCTGGCCAGCGAAAGTTAATTCTATATCCAATAGAATAGCTTTTTATACAAAATTGCACCTCAGACGGGTCAGTATTAACAGCAGACACGTGCTTACAAATGTCTTCGCAATCTCAGTTAATGACGTTTCTAATAGTATCACTTTTACTAGGGCTGCAGGAGAGGTCTGCGCATAGTGAACACTAGGAATTGTTCAGCAAGAAGCCTTACATCCAGGTTTCAAGTTCGTTTACACTAGACTTGTGGGATACTTACGTCCCCTGAGTTATTTAAAGCGCCACCAGTAAATACTGTTGACAGCAACTTACAACTAAGCCAGCCATGTGACTGACAACCTTTTGTAGGACAGAAGTATGAGTACTCAGTACTCATCTAAGTCTGTGGACCACGTTGGCTATTAGGCCAGATGGTGGGACACTTCAGTATCGTGTAATTTAGTGTTATGTGTGCTGTGTAGTAGGCACACACAGTTTAAAACAAAGGAAATATGAGGTCGCCTTTGACCCAGGCATAAATAAACTCCATCGAATCAACGCAAGACGCTATGGTAGAAATTACAGTATGATCTTTCCGTAAAGGCGAAAAGCAGTACTTAGGGGTTATATTGGCTAAACTCGTTCGGTATGCACAGTTACCTTCGGAGGTAATCCAGATGATTCTCACGGTTTTAACTCCCACTCAATTTACGGTGAATTTGATCAGTAAGTAGAATTGAGATGGTTACTCCAGTCCCGTCAGTTGTAGCTACCTAAACCATACTGAGATAGATAACTACTAAACAGAAAATCCTTGTAATTGATCGCAATTTTTGTTGGCTTGTACTTGTTCAACCTGGCAGTGAATTGAAACCATAGTGACACACGAAATGTTGATAAACAGGTATTTTTAACCACAAACAGAAGTATTGAAATATGAACCGTATATTGGCTAGTTTAAATATTCCCCATTTGTTTGGTTACTACCTGGTGCTCAAAGTGTGAGAAAAATCACTACCTATTCCATTAGACCGAGAGATGATGCAACTTAAGGATAGGGAAGACATAAGTGTTCAGTTATTCAACTTGAGTAGTGGTGACTTAAACCGTATATGACGGCCTTTAGTCTTTGGCTATTGGTATGAGACGTGTAAGGAAACGACGACTTTCCGGTTGCAATCCACATGAAAGATAAGGTAATCTTGTATCGATTGATGTGATGGATAAATGGATTCTCATTTTAATGTTTGGTAATAGAAGTCGAAAGGAAAACCGAAGATGCAGAAAGATTCTTGTCACTGGCCTATCATCCAGTCAATTACTAGGCTTCCTCTTAAGGCTTATAAGGGGTACACAACGCCACTACTCAAAGAATTAAGTAATTCTTGGCTATTTTCGGTTTGTTTTAAAATAACGTATTTGACAGACTAACAATATACCCCTTATTGTCACACTCAGGGACTGTTGAAGATATTAGTCACAGTTTATTGGTTATAAAGACTACAGATCCATAGACAAGCGGATAGTTTGCCACATAGTTAACCTTGGTAGCCGAACAAACCATCATTTCCCCCAGGATGAATGTAGCTTGGTCATTCTGTGTGAATCTCAGACAACTCTTGAGCTTAATAATGTATTCCCACAGACTAACACTTCTTTCCGAAAGGTATGTTTTGTATCTGGTTTTCAACGTTCTTGACTACGACATGTCCTGGCCTCGATAAATCAAAGCATCGGCGGTTATTCAACTCGATTAGATTGTAATCTGATTGTCTCTTATGCTAATGAACAGAGATATGTATCAGCCTCATAAAGGTGTTTGCACCAAGCATTTTCTAACATTAAATTCTTTATCCAGGAGTTGAGGGGAAAACCTGAGTTATGGCAGGAATAGAAAATATGTCCACCAGACAATCTGCCCAGCCCTGGACAAATTGAGGTATGAGACAAACTGATTAAGAAAGTTATTAGCCTGATTTTAGTCCCACATTGAACCCCAGTTATCTCACACAGTCTCATCAGGACAAGAAACTTTCCCAAAAGTGGATACAGATAACGGCTTGAGCAGTAGGCTATCCAGTATTAAACACGTGACGATTCTGTAGCTGTCTCGTAATTAAATTCTTTGAACAACATAGATGAGTTACATATTGAATGAAACAAATGCTAGTAGAATTAGTCAACTGCAGCTTGGAAGACACTGAAGACTGATTAGTACTCTCGGTTGGTTGGAGCTTATCGGTAGGAAGCACCACACAACTTGATCTTCATGCTTGTCGGCACTAGTCATCATGGTCTATCTGTAACGTCTCCTAAAATGATATCCCCCAGAGGTTCAAACCCACATGAAGAAGTGTTACAGTCAGCGATGTTACCACTGAGCTATTCGAGTCGTGTCTGACTCCTTGTGAAACTAGATAACGTGCACTGATCGATTATTGCAAAGCCACTAGTTTCTTTTTTTGATTGAATCCTATCGATAATTGGTCAGATGGTGCAATCTACCTTATAGTTTCTGAGATACTACCACGCTTTGTCTTGTACGTAGCGGGAAGCAGAATTTGTAAGTAGCAAGACCAGTACGTTGTCCCTGACTGATTAAGTTAGAAGCTGGCAGTTTGGTGCCATTCAAATTTAGTTGATATTGAATAAAGCCTTAGGATTTTCGATTCAGGATTATAAAATTCCTTAACCTGCAGATATGATTCTCCTCACTAGTCGTGATTATCCATGAGAATCTCAGATGATATGACATCAGTAACCGCTTGTCTCTAGAGACGTTTGAATCTTGTTCAAATGACTTACTGATACCTTCCACACTGGGCAAATGTGGACATCGATAACTGACTGAAAATCGTATGTAATAAGATTCACCAACGTTTCGTCGCCTTCTGGTTGATTCTATGATGAAACGGATGCTACTTGTGTGAGGAATACCACTCATCGCTGTATCTAAGTACTGGAAGTCATGCCTATCCTGATAAGTGTCTCTAAAAGTAAAAAAAATGTAAGTTAGTAACAGTCATCTGGTGACTGGGTTTAGTGTCGGTTTGGTCCCCAAGAATTACACTCTACTGCATATCTTTCATTCTTGACCAACACTCAGTCTATTGACCTAAGCTATCCCCTATAGTCTGGTCTATAAAGGTAATTCTCCTCGAAATATGCAATAATTATGTGTGACGGTGGGGGAAAACTTACAACTCTACAACTGAAAATTTTAATCACCCTAAGTGTCCTACTCTTAAATATTGTAAGTATCAATTATCTTCATGGAATAACCCTACCGGATTCAATATCCAATCTTCATTGACAATCATTCAATTGATTAGTCAGCAAATCAATCAATATATATTATTAATATGTATTGGTTATTCATTAATTTTATAGCACATAGCATTCTTTAGATATGTATATATATAAATATACATTTTTTTGGTATATTACATTTATTAGCCCCACTTGTCAATAATGCATCGGATATTGCAGCATATTTTGAATCCGGTAAGTGGGAGAAACTATTGAATAAGGAGTTTTTTTTTCTCCTTTAACTTTCTTATAGTGTTAAACTGATTCCCTGTCAAATCTTGCCTATCTATGTGTCTTGTTTTAAAACTGTGAGAAGCCTAGACTCTATGTCTTTCTTTTTTCATGCCATCTTATATCAATCGATTGATGAAGATAATGCCAATGTTTACCAGTTTTTTTATTTGTCCAATCTTATCTATACTGATAACGAAATGTTTTCCGGTTATGGATGATTACCTTCTTGATCAATCATCCTACGATCTGATAATGCCTAGTCAATAATTCATTAGGTTCTTTATGAAAGAAGTTTTAGCCATAAAGCCATGACGGAATTTAAATACTTAAGAATGGAGGTTGTTTTGAATGTTACGACCGAACGGTATTTATAACTATGACGTAGTTAAACACTGAACTAGAGAATATATTGTCGTGCAAGTATCTCCTGACTAAACCTTAATTAGGCTGCATTGTAAGAGTAGAACTTGGGCACTGTGGTCCATTGTAATTCAATCTTGGTCTGTTTATTACAAAGATCACACATTGAAGAAACAGTGGCATTTACTGCATAACAACTTTTCCGACACACTTTATTGTCCATTTTCATATCGGGTCAGGTAACTCCACAACTTCCAGACAGACTTCATATTTTCCTAATCTTCTCTCCTTCCCTGTGATGACAAGGGTAGTAGAATCCTCCTTATGTGTAGAACGGGTGGAGAATCATTTCTGTCACTTCATATATTCGGTGTTGATTCGATAAACAAAGATCCAGTCGGTTACCAATCACTCCCTGCCTCCATCCACACACATCAATAGGTTCTTGGCACATACAGATTCAGTAGTGAATCCAGTCCAACTTACCTGTGACTTAGAAAGTAAACAAGGTGAGCTAGCAATGTTGGCTTGTAAGATTAAATGAACACAAGAAAGAAATCTAGAGACCAGTGTCTATAGGAAGCCTACGCATTGGAATCACTACTCAGACTTGAAATCCTCCTACCACCCGATTTCAGTTAAAGTAGGTCTAGTTAAATGCTTCAGTGATAGAGTGAAAAAGCTTACTAGTAGATTGGAAAATCTGTGATAAGAAATTAGACACATGAAGAATACCCTACGTCTGAATAATTACCCACCGAAATTTGTAAACAAATTTATAAGAAATCGAAGGAAAAATATTGGCAGTGGTAGTAGTAGTGTTAATACAGATGTTATTAATAATAATTCCACTACTCATCGTAATAATGGTGACAGGGTTAAAAGAGAATTCAAAACCTCTACTGTGTTACCATAAAAGGAAGGCACCTCAGGGGGGTGATGAAGAATTCTCAATAAGGCTGGTTGGGATTAATGTGACATTGAAAGCAACAAACTCACTTACAAACAACCTCTGTAGATGAAAAGATCCTATCGATGCAATTCAGTAAAATAATCTGGTCTACCAAATCGCTTAAAATGATTGAGCGTTCAAGTACATAGGTGAAACCAGTCGACCAGGATTGATTAGAATAACAGAACACAAAAGCCTAGTTAAATCAAGATTAGTAGATCCTAATAAGATAATAAATTTAGAGAAAAGCTCGGCTATGGGTCTGCATGCAATTACACAGTAGTGTGGGATAGGGTGACAGTGTTGAAAAGTAAGTTGGTTGAAGGGAGGGGGGGAGGGAGGGTGAGACTGATAACCGACTGGATCTTTGTTTATCGAATCAACACCGAATATATGAAGTGACAGAAATGATTCTCCACCCGTTCTACACATAAGGAGGATTCTACTACGCTTGTCAACACAGGGAAGGAGAGAAGATTAGGAAAATATGAAGTCTGTCTGGAAGTTGTGGAGTTACCTGACCCGATATGAATATGGACAATAAATTGTTTCCGAAACGTTGTTATGCAGTAAATGCCACTGTTTTTTCACTGTGTGATATTTCTAAAATAGGCTACAATATCTTTGATCATTATCCATTCTATTGTCTAGAATTAACTGAAAGTCATATGACATACCCAGAGATTATATTTCTTGTATTCATTTTGAAGGTTATCAGTGTGAATAACTTGCTAACCTATTATTCAAACAAAAAGCGTTATTTAACTAACCAACTAACTCATTACCTACTAATGATTCATGTATGCTTCGTTTTCCTTGGTATACATTTTTTTCCTGAGTATAAAACATGGGTTAATTGTTTTGACAGATGGTCGTCGAGTGACGTTAGCTTACGCGTTTGTCTGTGTGTGTGTGTGTGTGTGTGTGTGTGCGCGCCTTCGTACACTTTTTAAAATTCGCTATCAGAAATGCTCGGGTGCGATTAAAAGTTATTCTCAGGTGTTATAGCATTCTGTCTGTGATCTATGAGTATCGTTCATCCTGAATAACTGTACTTACTTTCCGCCTAAGAAATGCAAGTACAGCCAACCATTTGCACATGAATGTAACGTTTTAAAACATGTTTCAGTGACAGGCGGTATTGTATAAAACTACACAGTTAGGTAAAGTACTCATAGAGAACACAGAAAATGTTTGTATTTATACAAACAACCGTACAGTCTGTCGCGAAGATGATAACACTTGGAGATAACTTTTAGCCCCACTTGAAATGCTAATTTTTACTCACTCTTATTCCTTGCCTTCAAAGCTTATTTAACAGCAGTCATTTTCTATCTTTATTGCTTGATTCATATTGATATTCCCTTGAATTTGATTGATGAGTGGAAGTCATTCAAGTTGTTTAGTTATCTTAACTGTCGAAGCTGAGAGATGTCAAATGTGAGCCTTCGAGTCCTTAGGTGGATAGGCAAATCGTGGTAATGGGGATAGTACCAGGTCGATTTTGAAGTGGCTGTAAATCCTCAAGTCAGCCAATGTTAAATAACTGGACTAGGTCAGTGATAACTTTGGTCTCTTTAGTATTAGTGGGAGTTTTTGTGTTTTTTGTGACCTTTCTATTCAAAGTGTAAGGCATCACTGCATTTATACAAATCTCTGACTGTTTTTCTAAGTCTTGTGGTAAGGTGTAGGTCACCAGCCTGCTGTCTCCAAGACGAAAGAGATCAATTATTGAAGATTGTATTTTATATGCCTGAAAATCGAGCATAGTGGTGAAGATGTATCCACTCTTTATCAGCTTTGAAATTTTGAGCAGTTTCAGTGATTAGTATAATTGTTTTTATATCACACTGTCGTTGATTGGACCGAATTGATCAGTCTCTATTGGCATATGGGCTCCTGTGCGGATGCCTGGATATTGCCAGCGTTCTAGTTATGTTAATAATGGATAGTGGCTAGCAGTGGAGTCCAGGATGCGCATGTCGTCCTATTTGGGACTCGTCAGCTGGATATACCTGCTTCCCACTGAATGATGCTGTTCCCACCAGGATATATATACATATATATATATATATATATATATATATATATATATATATGATATAAAAACAATTATACTGAAACTATACCCATCGCACAAGAAGCGGCTATCGAGGCTCGGTGGTGTAGTGGATAATGTGCTGGCGTTTGAAGCAATCGCTCCCGAGTCCAAGTCCCGGGGGGAACAATATCACTCACTGGAAAGCAGTTGCATCCAGCTGACGAGTCCCACTAGGACGAAATGCGTATCTTGGATTCCATTGCTAGCCACGATTCATCATTAACCTGGTTTCAATGATTTCCTGTATTAAATTGTTTATTTGATATAGTGTACAGTGGTACAGTACTAGTTACTGGATAACGTTCAGAGAATAAACTACGTCTCATGATCACAGCAAGATGATATATTACATTTCGTATCATTGTCTTTCCTCTCACATAACTTTAGTGTTTTTTTATGTAAGTCCTTCTCGATTGGCGTGTTCTTTGCATGCTGGTATGAATTGGGGCAGTCAGAACTGATGTACTTCCTTGGTAGATTGGATATTGGTTTGTCTGCCTTAGAAGTTATTGCACATACGATTATAGGACAACAGGCACCTAATTAGTTATTTTGAAAACCCGTCATATGTCGATTTCAAAATGACGCAATCTGGCATGTTACTTGGATTATGCGAATGAAATACTGCCTAGTGAACAGTGGTCACGAGTATGAAAAGTGAAGAAACGGCTTTAGGAATGTCATAATTCAAAAAAATGGTCTCAGAGTAGTTACATTTAATTTGAATGCTTCGATAATACACTACGTTCCACATAGAACTATTGGCAGACACTCAAGTCGGTTTCAGTCAGTCACCTTGTAAATTTCCTTGAACGTGATAACCCAATTTCCCTAGTGAAGACTGACAACGTCCCCTTAGGGAGAGAAACTCGTTGACTTGTCAGCGGTATTCTTTTTGACTACCTATCCTACTATCGCCGTACAAGCTAACAAGTCTTGCCGACTCGATGTTTCAACAGTCGGTGACCATTAGGGCACTGCCTTAGTACGTTCTTCCTAACACCGTCCTACTATCTTAATTCAGCACAAACGTTGGTGAGCAACAGTTTATCACTTCACACGCATACACATTATGAGACCTTATCGTGGTGTAACAAAGTCCCATATTGGTCAAAAATTCAAGAGACCAAACTTTATCAGGATGCCTTGTGATATAGGATGCATTCTGTTGATGGATAGAAAACCGGATCACAAAAACTATTCCATAATGTGTGCGCAAATACTGTTAGTCTATGAGGTATACTGTCGTGATTGTAGACAACTTTCCTTCTTAGAAGAAGAAATCAAGATGAACAAACTGTAAGAAAATACCTAAATCCTACTAGGTGGTGGGATAGAATCCGTTCATCTGCTCTGCTGTACTTACTCTTCTTTCACATGACCTGCCAATTCCTATTTGATCTATCTCATGTATTACTGCATGTACTAAACAGACGTTTATATGGAAATTTTGTTGAAGCTATAGGATAATCTTGTATATTTGGTGAAAACACATACTGATTGCCTCTTATGTGTTAGTCTACCACAGTGTGGCGCACAATGAGCTTTGTGACTATACTATAGACTTGATCGATAGATTTAGGTTACAGCTGAGTTGTTTGGGACAAACAGCTTCATCATTTGCCCACTGGTGACACATTCATAAACAGGCTTAAGTCCTACAGAGTTCACATGTAATACGATTCACCTCGTAGTAAAGTCATCGACTTAAACACTGAGTGATACAGTTTATAGAAGTACGTGGCATGTTAATGCCTCCCTCCAATTATGAATCCACAAGTGAATGCGTTACTTCTACTAACTTTCGCGTCAAACCGTTATGCTATGATGCATTTACACCTCATTAACAATATTCTCAATCATAAACCAAATCAAAATTGATTTATTTTTATTACAAAAAATATTCTGGACAATTTTCTTTCTATGTTTGTGCCTTTACCTTCTGTTTTTTTTTGTCTGACAATGTTCAGCCTTTAAACGGTTGAAAGGTAGTCAACGACAGTGGTATGTATTTGAAGAGACCACTTTGAAACTGCTTGCCTATCGGAATGAAATGGAGGCAGCTATACCAGACAAGGAACCGTTGAAAGTGATTAATATACACGGAGCTGTATTTCAGATTGATCCCGCTGAACATAATCAATTCAGTATAATGTAAGTTGGATGATAAGTTTTTTGAAAGTTGACTTGTAATGATTGTAACACCTTTACTAAGTTGCAGAGCATACAACACTTTCAGATATGAAGTAAACTAACTGCCTCTTAAACGACAGTATGAGGAGTCTGCTGACTGCCTGCTAATCCTCCTATTACCCTCAGCTGACTATTTGTCAAGACGGTGGGTCTGGATCTTAGGCAAGAACATTGTATAAAACGCCTGTTATTGAATGGTTCAATACTTTCATCTCATTAATTTGAGGCCACTGGTTGTTCACCAGTCAGATATGGAGAGGAAATAATACTAATTTTGTTAACAAGATCCTGAGTTCGACTACTCATTCTGGTGTCTAGAATATCATCACATCATCTTTGGGCCACACCTTTTCCCTGTACCTGAAATTCCCAGTTCCATAAAAACCATGATTAACAGTAGGATGTTTTGGGGTACTCTGGAATTTCATTACCCCTAGAAGGTGATATCGTCAGCATAAATCAGTAGATGAGTTTTATTTTGAGAAAGATTTATTCAATCCCGACTGGAATCTTATTCTCTCTGGTATAGATTGAGCATAGACTCATAAATAGTGTCACTTTTTAAATATATACAATCCAGTTTGTCTATGTTGTTACAGTAAAAGGCATGTAGAGAAAATAGGCACATACTACTACAACTCTGATAGAATGTGGTATTCATAGTCTTCTTCAGAAATTCCAGTTCAGTAGCATTCCAATTTTTGAGATTTATAAAAGAGAAGGCGTATTTCTGAACGAAATAAGATGGGTAATTTTTTGATGCGTTTAATTTCCCGTTGTTCATCATACTAGATGGAACTGATTCGCCTCTCGAGGTGAATGAACTCCTTGAATGGATACCTTCATATTGCCTTTGATTTCCATGTAGATACCAGTCTGTGCGTTTCTTCCTATATGGGACTGCTCAGTTGGGTGTACCTGAACCCCAGTAAGAGATGTTTTTCCGACCGAGATCTGATCACCTTTCCATAGCATCAGAAGCCAGAGAGTTATCAAATAGGCTACTGAGTCACTTGACTAACTGGGATGCAGGTACATCCAGTTGAAATGTCCATTATAGGACAAAATGAGCATCCCTATCAAGCAAGTACCGTTAAGATAATGATTAATTCTATCTGGTTTCAGCCCCCGATCGGCTGACTGCCATTGGTCATTCCTCGCACAGTTGATTCAGCCTCTTGATTAGCCTATATTGTTCCCCATCACTTATCAAGAGTACCGATTACTGCTGTATGGAAGTTCTTTGAACTACTGGAGACTTTTAGCTGCTGATCTCTGGCTATGGACTCAGTTTACCACCAGCAGTGATGTGAGCCTCTACGGATAAGTAGATTCCAATTTACCTCCAGTCCTTGAATGTCGCGGCCATTTAGTATTTAAATATAACACGGGTGGTTGTGATGTTAGTCAACACACCACCTGCCTAGTCAGACACCTTATTACCCAAAACTAAATGAAGTGATACTAGTAAGCGAAGACCATTCACTGACTGTTACAGAAACTACTTTATTTCACAATGTAACAGTCCAGGTACGTCGACGACATATTTTTGTTTTCAATGATATGAAACATGCAAGTGAGTTGCTTGACAAGCTCAAAGGGGCTCATCCTAACATTAAATGTACTGTGGAGTATTAGCATGTAAACGAGTTCACACTTTTGGACATCAAGGTCAGAAGATGAATTGATGGTAGGATTAAAGAGACTATCCAAAGAAAAGGCACACGGATTGGACAATAACTCAAATGTATTAGTTTCTGTCTTGCCAATAACAAGCGTTGGCTAGTCAACACAATTTGCAACAGAACTAAGAATTTGTGTTCTATAAACAAGTTAGACGAAGTAGGAGAACAAGGAGTGTCTCCGACAGAATAAGCATCCTATGAGATTTATTATGAAGTATGAAAAAGTACAACCTCGCCTGGTTAACTAGTTTACTAGTTACTAGCCGGTCCTAAGCCCGGGTAAAGAGGGAAGGTTGGGCATAGGGCTAGCAACCCTACCCCGTAAAACAAATCTAACCGCTAAAGAAACTTCAAAGCACAAACAAAATATAAAAAATGAAAACAAACTTATTCCCCGCTGGAATCGGAGAGGCGAAATGACGCCAGTTGGTGAAAGCCTTCGGGAAGCCAATTGGCCGATGTGTCTTCTCTCGATGAAAGCGAAAGTAAACGTGGGGACATGGAATGTCCGCACGATGTTTGAACCCAGTAAGGCAGCCCAGATTGCAAAGGAGATGAGAAGGTATAACATCGAAGTGCTTGGGATTTGCGAAAGCAGATGGAATGGGAGTGGACTCTCCAAACTGTCAACTGGAGAATCAATAATCTACTCCGGTCACCCAGACGCCAACCACGAGCACACTGAGGGAGTGGCTATCATGATGTCCTCAAGAGCATCGAAGGCTCTCATGCAGTGGGAACCAATCTCCTCCAGGATCATGACAGCAAGATTCAACTCAAAAGGAAGAAAGGTCACAATCATACAATGTTATGCACCTACAAATAATGCAGAGCAAGAGAAAAAGGAGGAATTCTACAGACAACTTCAATCAACACTGGACAAGACGTCAGTTGGCGATATCAAAATTCTAATGGGCGACATGAATGCCAAACTGGGAGGGGACAACACGGGAAGAGAACTAACCATGGGTCGAGAGGCGCTAGGTGAAATGAATGAGAATGGAGAATTGTTTGCAGAATTCTGTGCATTCAACGATTTGGTGATTGGAGGCAGTGTGTTCAGGCACAAGGATATCCACAAAGCGACATGGATTTCACCAGATGGACACACTAAAAATCAAATCGACTTTATCTCAATCTCAAGAAAATGGAGACGCAGTCTACTTAACACAAGGTCAAGAAGAGGAGCAGATGTAGGTTCAGACCACTCACTATCTAGTGCAAGGAACCTTCCAAATCAAGTTAAAAGCCTTCAAGGAAGCTGGTGATAGACCTCAATTCAAGTACAACACTCGGAAACTGAAGGATGAAACTACAAAGGAGATCTTCAAAGCAGCCATCAAGACAAAATGGGAGACGTCGAGGGACATCCCTGAAGAAACCTGTGTGGAAGAACACTGGAAGTCTTTGAAAGCTATGTGGAAAGAAACCTGCACAGCCGTATTAGGAAGGAAGAAGGAAGACAAGGAATGGATCTCGACGGATACCTGGAAGCTGATAGAGGAGAGGAGGATGGTGAAGCAGAAGATAAACCAGTGCAAGGATGCTCAACGACAAGAGGAACTGAGCACAATGTATAAAACACTGGACAAAGAAGTGAAGAAGAGTGCACGCAAAGACAAAAGACACTTCTACGAAACACTGGCAAGTGAAGCAGAACAGGCTGCAGGTAAGAGAGACCTGACGACATTGTATCAAATAACCAGGTTGCTATCAGGGAAGAGACCAACACAGATGAAACCAATAAAAGATGAAGAAGGAAATTTAATTACAAAAGAAGAGAAACAGAGGAAACGATGGGCCGACCACTTCAAGAAGCTCTTGAATCGACCACCACCTGCACTTCGTCCAGAAATACCACCTGCAGCCGCTGAATTACAAGTGAACATAAATCCCCCAACGAAAATGGAAGTCCTGAACGCCATAAAGCTACTGAAATGCGGGAAAGCAGCAGGACCAGATGGAATACCGCCAGAAGCACTGAGAACAGATGCAGAGACAACAGCGGACATGCTCACACCACTATTGCAGAAGGTGTGGAAGGAAGAGAAGGTACCTGACGATTGGAAGAAGGGTTACCTTGTCAAACTGCCGAAGAAGGGAGACCTCAGTGCTTGCAAGAACTGGCGCGGAATCACTCTCCTGTCCACCCCAAGTAAAATATTAAGCCGCATCATCCTGGAGAGGCTTAAAGACGCACTGGATTCAAAACTGCGACCGGAACAGGCAGGCTTCAGGAAGTACAAATCATGTGCTGACCAAATTGCAACGCTTCGTATCATCATAGAACAGAGCGTAGAATGGCAATCAGCTCTCCACCTCAACTTCATCGACTTTGAGAAGGCCTTTGACAGCGTCGACCGAGAAGTAATTTGGAAACTGCTTCAATACTACGGAGTACCGCAAACCTTTATCCGCCTCATTCAACAACTATATGAAGATGCCACATGCCAAGTAATCCACAATGGGAAGCTCAGTGATGCCTTTGAAGTGAAGACAGGAGTGAAACAAGGTTGCCTACTATCCCCCATGATATTCCTTATTGTGGTGGACTGGATCATGCAGCAAACAGTAGGCAGCGAGAAGAGGGGGATACACTGGACGACGGAAAAGAACCTAGAAGACTTGGATTTCGCCGATGACTTGTGCCTAATGTCACATAAACTTGAAGATCTGCAGGCAAAAACTAACAAGTTGATAGAAGAGGCAGCGAAGACGGGACTTCAGGTGAATATAGAGAAGACAGAAGTGATGAAGATACCGCACCACCACCATCAACAACAACAACAACAAACTCCAATCACCGTCAACGGGAGAAACTTGAAGGAAGTAACCTCCTTCACTTATCTAGGAAGCACTGTTTCAACTACAGGCGGGACGGACGAGGACGTCAAAGTCAGAATCGGAAAAGCAAGACAGGCGTTCATTAGCCTGAAACCAGTGTGGAGATCTTCTGCACTCAGCATGCGGAACAAGATACGGATTTTCAACACCAACGTCAAGTCAGTGCTCTTGTATGGCTCAGAGACTTGGCGCGTCACGAAAGGTATTTCCAATAAACTACAGACATTCATCAACAACTGCTTACGCTCGCTGCTGAAGATCAGATGGCCAGAAAAAATAAGCAACAAGGAACTCTGGGAACGAACCAACCAAGAACCTATCACGCAACAAATATGCAGGAAGAAGTGGAGATGGATTGGGCATGCACTGAGAAGGCCGACTGAGGACATCACGCGTCAGGCCAGCCTCGAGTGGAATCCCCATGGGAAGCGACGAGTTGGACGTCCGAGGGTGACATGGAGGAGGTCATGCGAGGAGGAAATGAGAGCTTCTGGGCTGTCGTGGAACCAGGTTCAAAAGATCTCAGAGAACAGAGGTCACTGGAGGCGTGCTACTGAAGCCCTATGTTCCACTCGGAACCCAAGGGACTAATAATAATAATAATAATAATAAATGAAAAAGTACAGATGGAGAGGAAAAAACACTCAACTGTGGAAAAAGGAAAGGTTTCTATTCACACTACATTCAAGGGAGATGCAGTATCCAAGTGAATAGACACAAGAATCGAAGGAGAATTGAGAAGGAGCTTTCCCACAACCACAATGGTATTCGTTTACAATACCACGTACTCGTTAAACCAGTTGAAATGAGATAATCACCTAACTCCTGTCACATCCGAGTGTATTTATGAATGTGTATGTATTTGTGGTAGTAGATATATTGGAAGGGCATAGAAGATGGTGTTCATTCGGCTTGTCGAGTATATCCCTAATAATCTGTGCTTGAAAAGAAATAGAATTCTAAGCAGTATGATTGCGAGAGACATGTTGGACACAGGCGATGAGGTGGGAACCTTGAGTAGTTTTAGAATGAATATTTAACGCATAGAAAATGTTTGGATTACTGGATTATCCAACCTTTGCAAACAAAGACTGAGTTTGGTTAATCTCTAACACCTTTGGTGACCATGATTCTATCCTGTTTCATTTTCACCCTCATTTCTCAACTGAGTAATTGTCTACTATTGATTTTTCAAAATAGTTTTTCCCTCCTTACATTTCATATTACTCTCGTTAATAATTCTCTTACATGTTATTTCGTCACACCAGTATGATTTTAAATTGTACGCAGCTGAAGAGTACCCGTGAAATGAATAGATATCATTTCATGCAACAGATTACATCATTCTTGTTTTACTCAAATGTATCAACGAATCTGAATGCATGACATTCTCACAAAGTTAACTGGAATAATGAACTTGAAGATACACAGGACTCCATCTACAATTATAATCACGGAAATAATAAATTTTTTTGAGGTGATAAACTATGGTCGTTTAGAATTCACCACTTTCACCTGCTTTCTATCTACTGCTTATGCCTCTCTTCATCATCATTACACTTCATCTGTATGGAGTCCATAAGAATGTCACAGATTAATTGACCAATCAGCGATTCATCATTCACTCTTCAGATAGAACGATTGACAGAGATGAATACTTGTTGACTCGACATTGAAGGTGGATCCAGCTGAATAACCGATAAAACATTAATCCAACAATAGGCTCATTCGTAGATCATTTTACTCACCTATTGTTCCAGTCAAATACGTGAATATTCTCTGTCATCAGTGTAAATTCCTAGTCGACACTAGATAAATGAAGTGATATGCGACGTCAGTTCGCAATCCGGTCTCGATAATCGAATGTTTGAAGACCATGTGACTAATCTGAGAAAGGATGATTATAGTATACGGACTAAGCAGCACATTCACCTATTCAATCTAGCTCATTTCTATTAACGCTATATTAGTCGGTTCAGTTAGTTCAGTAACTGTCTGTCTGCCTCCCTCTCTACTCCATCTCGCTTCATCTTTTCTTTCCATTTTAGGTCAGATGGAAAGGAACATATTCTTCAGGCTGAGACTGAAGAAGCCATGCTTTTATGGTTGCATGTTTTACAGGTAATATTCAGTCGAATGTTTAATTCGACAAACTTTTGTTTACTATTCTAAGGAGTTTTTCGATTCGAGTTGACACCTTCCAAAGAACTATTGAAAACCTTAAGGGGACTGTTCAATTATTTTGTATTAATTTTAGGATTCCTCAGTATTGCACACCTACAGTTGAACTCAGGATTGTCATTTCTTGAGATGGGTATTTAGGATTTGTCCTGGTGCGAACTTGACAGAGGCAAAGACCAATCACTAATTATTCGAACTTGTTATATACCCACGAATACGAGACCAAGGAAGAACACGATAGCGTAGTCGGATGGAATAGTATATTTGGATGGTTATGCCAAAATACCGATGCGTTCCAACTAACTGGCTAGAGAGTCGAATACGAGCAATGCAACGTAACACGACAGCGTGCCAAATGGCGAGGATGCTTGACCGGGTGCCTTCAGCTTAGCGTGTCCAGTTAAACTATCAAGGTCAGCATCGATGTCGAAAGTCGTCAAACCCTAGGCTATTGATTTTGGGGAAGTGTATGACGCTACAGGTACATTCCCTCTCATAACCGGCTTCGATAAACACACGGACCACGGTCTCTTACTTAAAGTTTGTGGAATCCACCACACACTAGACGGTATGATGTTGTTATTCAGTTAGGATGTTCCTGAAGAACTGACTGATTTCAAATAGGTTCACTATGAGATTAGAGTCTCAAAGCTGGAAGTCGAAGTGGAAAACTAGGGGCTTTTGAATTCCGCTGCAGTGACTGAATGAGTATAGGCGCAGGATTTCAAGACGTTACCTCCGATTAACTGAGGTTAAAACAAAACTAGAATTTCCGACACTTTGTATGATAAAGGCTTTCTAAGCTAATTCAAAACATCATCTGTCATCAGACTGCTGAGATATTACAGTCACTTCCTGCTTAGCCTAGGTATCCTGCACATTAGCAGTTGTCGTCTGCAATCTCAAGAGAACTTCAGTTCCTTAAGAGATTAAAAAGCGTGTCACTCTCACGCGTCTGGTCAGAGACGTTACTACTAGGCCATTTCGGTAAGTGGCTCAACACTGAGTCGTCGAAAAGGAATGTTTTATGAGAAAATGGTGCACCTTTTCGAGAATTGAAAAGAGACTATGTAATCACAAGGTATATAGGAAAAAAAATCCACTCAATCACGGTGATCTCTGTCTCGTCAACTTGGAAGTTGCAGGTATAGATGCGGAAAGAAATAATCAGTTAATAAGAGTAAGGAGAATATTGAATCCGTGAATAAAATCAAAGAGAGGTTGTAGCCATGGCAATAAAAGGCAGTGTTGAGTTACCAACGTTTTCATCATACAAAAACTGAAGAATTCAACACTGTCTTTGAGCCATTCTTTTGAAATTTGCAAAGAATTTTAATAGTAGACTATGGGGAAGTGAGATGACTAGAGTTGATTAAGTGGTCTACGATGAACCTAATTCTTGACGTTCAACATTCTTTGAACAGGTAAGTGGAAGAGTACCTAAAGATACGTTCAGAAAGGCTGTACTACTTACAGTCTGTATAATCAGCTGGATAAGAGCGGATAAACTGATAGGCCCATCTGGAAATATCCACACTCTTTTAGATCGACTGTCATCTTCAGAAGACGATTCACAGTTCAGCAGCATAGTATGTTCTGGTTGCTTTAGAAAGTTGGTTTCTTAGTAGTTTGGCATAGTTGTTCCCCTGGAGTTAAATATTCATGATTATAATCTTCTTAGGAACAGTAAGAATACGTCATCGTCAGTATTTTGCTTTATACATTTGAAATGAATCGTGAAGAGTAGCCGTTCTGAGGAAACACTTTAAAAGACTTTCCGTGTCTTCATCTGTTGTTACATCGACGCAAAATTAACTCATTCTCATGCAAAGAGAATGAATTGAGTTGCTTTCTTGGTTTAGCTGAACCCAACTTTAGAAATTAGTTTAATTCCTACAGATTTACCCTTTTACAACGCTATCAGATCTCCTCTTCAATCAAATATATTCAGAAGAGGAAGTTCTGAGTTACTCTGAGCTTCCATCGTGAACTTGTTCGAAAGATGGAAGTCATTGTTTCTTGGTAGTATGGCGTCTAGACCAATCTTCTAGTGTCAGACAATGAAGAGATCATCTATTTACTATCTGTATAGCTGAAACTGATTGATATCTGAACGTAATGTGATATGCTTTAAGTTAATTATGGAGTTATCTGCTAGAAGAGCCCCCAACGGTCACTGTTACCTACGAGTGACAAATATCAGTACCACAAGATAATTTCCCAAACTACCTTGCGTGACGTAGCAAGAGGAGACATTTTCTTCAAGGCAGGTGAAATTTATAACTATAATCTCTTTAGTTATATTTCTTTCTTTTCACTTACAGACAAGGAGGAATGAAGCAGGACAGACAGGTTTGTCTGACAGTTCACCGACCACTGATGACAGTCTGTCAGATTATAAGCTGTTTAGACAAAACTCAATGATGAAAATTCAGACACAAATACCGGTGAGTGAATTTTTCATCAGAATAGGGGGTGAATATTTTTTCATAGACATATGACTGAAAAGTATACACAGTGATTTCGGTGAATCAAAGTGGAAGAAAGGAGAGGGGGAGGGAGTGGGAGACAGAAGTAACCTAGGATATGAAACGATATTTCCCCGGTCCGATAGAGATTGAACTAAAAAAACGTACTTCGTGATAGTCGACTGAATATTTAGTGGAAAACGAGCTGATGATGAGGTGGTTATTGATAAAAAGATAAACTCATAATCCTGTGAGCAGTTGCATGTCGCATATAGGAGGGTCAACTCCACCACTACTAGTTCACAACGCCCGCCTGATTGCTTTCGTGATGGCATAATTAGGTATGATGGCGGTTGACACATCCCGCTCAAGCTGTCTCACTCCGTAGAAAGTTAGTTCTTCTTGAGGTGTCTAACGACAAAACTGGATTAGTGGTAGTGGTGTGTGGCCACATAGCATAAAGGAAGTCTGTCTGAGACCTATGATACAAATCACTTTAAGAGTTTTGGATTGAGAATTAACTGTGCTACAGGGAAATCCTCTTCCAGTGCCACTGAAAGATGGAAGGGTATAAATCAGTGTGCTGTTTTTGGTGGCAGCATTTTCCAACCCCTCCTTGTGATAAGCAATGAAAGGCAGGGTCAGGATGGACTGCTGGTTATTCACTGTACACACCTTATCATTGTTACGCCGCATAAAGCCAGTACTACGACTTCACATGTTGATTACATAATAGCGAAGGCTGTGTACATTAGGATGGTAACTGCTTTCAGTCTTACCATTGTGCGAGAAATCTTTTTGATGTGGTTGAACTTCATGAAGGAAACATTCACGCCATCAATGCTCATTGGGTTATTGTAATGCCCAAGCCTGATCACTATGTTGGGGTAAAAACTTTCAGTCAAGGTATGAATAATTAACATCACTCAGCCCATCCTCTTTAAGACAGAATATTTTCATTTACTTCTTCGACCATCAGTAGGTAAAGCGGTACACTGGCAGTAACACAGACAGTAAACCATTTCAACCAATAAATGTTTTTTGTTGTTGCCTGCTTGGCGGCTTAAAGTGAAATGCGGAACGCGCACTTTTTCCTATTGTTGTCTTGCCAGTGAGATATACCTGCACCTCTTTGAGCAATGTTGTCCCCATTGAACCTCGAACCCAGTTCCTTCGCTTCAAACAGCAAGTCGTCATCCACTAGGGTATGAGAACCACCCTATGTTATACGAAAAATGCGTCCTGGATTCTACTACTCGCTACTAAGCAAACAACAACATGACGAGTAATCGAACAGTTTGGAAGCATCCACACAAAACAATTTGCAACAGAACTAAGAATTTGTGTTCTATAAACAAGTTAGACGAAGTAGGAGAACAAGGAGTGTCTCCGACAGAATAAGCATCCTATGAGATTTATTATGAAATATGAAAAAGAACAGATGGAGAGGAAAAAACACTCAGCTGTGGAAAAGGGAAAGGTTTCTATTCACACTACATTCAAGGGAGATGCAGTATCCAAGTGAATAGACACAAGAATCGAAGGAGAATTGAGAAGGAGCTTTCCCACAACCACAATGGTATTCGTTTACAATACCACGTACTCGTTAAACCAGTCGAAATGAGATAATCACCTAACTCCTGTCACATCCGAGTGTATTTATGAATGTGTATGTATTTGTGGTAGTAGATATATTGGAAGGACTTAGAGGATGGCGTTTGGATTACTGGACTATTTGGATGCGATTGCTCTAAAACGCTTTCAACCCGACCTTTGCCTACAGAAGTCGAGTAGTTCGACTCAGATAACTAACGGGAGATTACAAATATGAAACAGCTAGTCTTTTGCATCTTTGCTTTGATAGCATCCACTCCCACCACTGGTGTCATACAAAAACTTTGTTTAGTCGTTCGCCGCTCTGATGGGATTGGATAGCGGAAATATTTTACTTGAATGGGCCAATAGTGAATGTATGAGGACGCTTTTATGTTTCACTAGCCTAGAAGCTCCACTTCCAACTAATAATTTACTGACGTTAAGTGGCTGTATCTTGCTGTGTTCAAAACGCCAGGTAAAATCGTTTGCTTTTTCTTATACCTCATTTAACTGACTACCCAGCAATTTAACGTTTATCTAGCCCCCATTTTGAACTTGCCGGATAGGGAACCATTCAGTTCAGATTTAGATCTTTAGGCCTTTTTACCACAGTAAGATTACCAACAGTGATACACCAATCTTCTGCAGTGATAGGAAGCGTTCATCATTTGGTCACTTAATGAACGGGCATGTTTATGTTGTTATGATAAATTTTCTCCTCTATAGTAATGTTAAGAACACAATAGCGATTGGCTTACTGACTGATTGAAGTCGATTTCGAGAAATGCTAATCCTGTGTGTTTCTGAGAAGATCCGGAGAAATGTGACATTACTTTTCAGAACTACTTGACTCTTCACTTCAAATCACTTAAAAAAAAGCCGTTCATACTAACTATAATAGGTAAACTCACCTTTAAGGTGACTAGAACCGGCGACCGAGGCTTTAAAGTGTTAGAAAACTGTCAAAAGAGTATACCTTGACAATGCTGATTAAATCTTGTTTCGCAGTTTCTCATCATTTCATCGATATACTTTCACTGCTGAGGACGTTAGCAAGATTAAAAAGCACAACCCACCAGTGAACTAAGAATGTGCACTTGGAAAAAGGCATAATGAACTAACCCGAATCAATGTGTGTGAGAGCAGAAAAGAGTGGAGAGTTGGAGAGGAAAGAGAAATGGACAACGAAATTTGGTGTTGTTTAACCACTGATGAAGGTACATTTCTAGAGAATGGGCTACTTTGTGCTTTCTTGATCCATCTTGTTTATGGTCGCCTACTTTTCAGCGGTTTGAAGATAAAACTTGTGGGAAACAGTATTTTTCGCATTTGTTTTTTACCTGAGCGTATACGGCCCACACAGTAAACCCAATAGGCTGCGTACTTGTGTAATTGTGTTTCATTTAATTCATTCAGTTTAAAATGGAATAACCCCGTATCGCTGACGTGACAGTGAACTGCGAGCACTAAGTTGTGATGTATATTATCAGCTGAATTGGTAGACTGTAGGATAGATTATCTCAGATAGTGAATGCTATAGGAATCGCCTGTCTAAAGTATCACTCCGGTTTTTCACTTAGGTCCAAGTCCCAGGCTGGTCTTCAGGTTCATGCATTTTCCAACACAAACCTAATACATCGATCCCTACACCAATCGGGAAACACCCAAACAGTACACTTACAAGAGAATGAATACTCCTATCAAAACACTCCATTTATGCCTCTTCAAACTGACCAGTGTTATTCCACCAGCTTCTCAACTGTCAGAATTCACCTTATCCACGTTAGCTGAGTAATCGATTCGTTGACTGTACACATCTCCTCATATTCTTACGTGCTTGGGATATGTCTAACTGAATTCTCCCTATTATCTTTCAGGCCAAAGTGCAGTTCTAGGACGTCTGGTCGGTAAACACATATTACCAACAGAATCACGGTGGTGACTACTTTCAGGCTACCAGAATAAAGCCAAGGCTAAGGCTAAAGACACTAGCATTCTTGACCGAATATCCTGAGTCTTCGCACGGTAAAAGTTGGTTCTCATCAATTCAACTTGACGGTGTATTATTTGATATCCGGCAGCACCGCAAGACGGCTCAACTCGTACCCCCCAGTTTTTACCAGCCAGCAACACAAAATTGGCACCAATTAAATGTGCCTTGTAGGCCTTCTTCACTCAGACGCTCTGAAATGTAACTATGGTGCGAAATCATGTTGCCTAGAGAGCCTCATTCACCTCTGTCAAAATTTAGGCATTACATTATGGTTGGGTGAAATTGAAATATATATTTTATTATATTCTGACCTAATATCCTGTCGAGAAACACAGAGCTTCCCAATTCCATCGTGTATAAGACTGGACATATGCATTGTCAAGACACCACAGCTCTGGGTTTCACCTCTGGATTTCACTCACCGTCATGCTACCAACTCTTAAAGTGCTCAATTTCCGACCTGAGCAGTATGAAATGTCAGACTCCTGATGAATTCACGCTGGACAGCTGAAGTTCATGACTAAAGTCTCCATGGATTACGGTTCAAAATGGATTACTGTAGCGTCGATTCATTTATACTGAATCTCCGTATGTATAATCTCGTCACAGAGGCTGCCATACTGTCCAATGTTTACTTTCCTCAAATGTGGATAGATGAAGAAGAGAGTTTCTCATTCTATGATGTACCATTCAGGAATGAAGAGCAGTTGTGAGTCGGGTTAGCATTTGTTTATGCCTCAGGACTCTCTGGATACGGTCAAAGAAATCACACAACTCAATGGATTAAGATAATGGAAGATAAGATTCAGAATCGATCCAGCTTCAGTTTTCTCATTTTCTCTTTTATACAAGGTAGTAGGAGATTTATGAAATCCTTTTTGGATGCTCCCTTTAGACTGATACTTGAAAGAAATCAAAAAAATGTAACAAGGTCAGATACAGTTTTTTACAGGATAAATGCTTTTCATCTTCAGAAGTAAGTAGTATGTTTATGTAGGCATAAAATGTCATTGATTACGGGCTGATGACACTTATAACGTTGCAGATTCAGACATTTCATGTTTTTATTTCCAACTGTCTTTTAAACCGTTTCTTCTATTGGCTGATATGAAGTAATATATAATGATTAGTATATAAGTGTTATTTTAATTTCTATAATCTTGTAGACAAGAGTTTCGCCAACTTCATCGTTCGATGCAAATGACATCATCATGAATGGATCCATGAATGTACGCCTAAGTCAGGTGAAAATGACATCAACAATGCGACAAGAGTTAACAGATAGCATGAATGATAGTCTAATTTATGTGAATCCAGTACCCGACTATTCATCAACACTATTTCAATCATCATGGGGTTCGGGATCGGAAAATGCTACAATCACACCATCGTTGAATAGTACACCGTCAAATCGTTTACAACTGTCCAGATCACGTTCATATGATCAAGAAGTCATGAAACAGCAAACGGTTAATGGGCGTAGTTCAGGTGAGAGGCATACACCATTGCCTATTTCAAGGTCAGCGAGTCTATTACAAAGTCGTGTTGAACATTCACCTAAGGGAATTCATCGTCGAGATGTGTTACATGCACCAATAGAAGAAGAAAATGAAGAGTTTACAGTGGATGAGAAATTCCATGGACAGAATTCATCTTCAAAGAAAACTTGTAAGTTCCTAGTCAACTCATATCTTATTTTCTGACATTCATGTAAAACAATTCCGAAAATGTTGAATTACTTGACCACTGTCAGCAGATGAGCTTTAATGCAGATGCCTCGATAATGTTGGGCATTCATGATGTTGTATTCATCTTGGTGGCTAGCAGTCGAATTTAGTACACGGGTTTCGCCCTATTTAAGACTCAGCAGCCGAATTTGCTTGTATCTAGGCCATTGGGCCAGTGTCATTGTGGATAATACTATGGCGTTTGAAGTGATGGGTACTACTTTCGAATCTTAGTAGGAATAACATCACTCACTGGAATGCAGATACTTCCATCTGATGTTGAAAAAGAACAATCACTCTAAACAAAATGGCCATAGTAAAATATGAAAGATGCTGGAATCTGCAAAAAGCGAAGCGATACGTACGATCGAAACATTAGATCAGGATTTAAGGTCTTGAGATTCAAGCTATCTGTTAAGTATTTTGGCATTCCAAGTTTCTGTAGTCTAAACGGTTGACATAGTTATAAAACAATTGAGTTATGAGAAAATAGAACACAGTAAATATGAACGGCAGGATGAGTCCTGTTGGGGTCACGTAGGCATAAAAATCAACGATGATTGTGAACGTGTGGTTAACTATAATCGCGTGGCTGTATGCAGTTAGTTAGTGATTAAGTTAGAATAACACGTACTCAAGACACCAAAAAGGTTTTCAACTATCATTAGCAAACAAAGGGATACAGTCAGCAGAATTCTGTTCATAAAAGCTTAGTAGTAAGTAAAATATATAAACTTCACTCATAATTACACTGTGTGAGATCGAATACAGAAGGTCCGTTTGGCGTTTGCTAATTGACGTCACCTGTGGCATCGGCGAGATATCCGGCTGTCTATCAAAGGACTAATATACTGTGCCACCACAGTCAGATTTGAGCTTTGTACGGCTTTGAGAAATGGTCATTAAAAGTGGAAGAAGTGACGGGACTACAAGATTTTGATCATAGACCTCTTCCTATGATTACTTGTGTGTTGTGGAATCACCGTTTGAGCAGTGTTGAGGTCAGGTAAAAGGTACTAGGCAAGACAGACAAGTCGATTGATGAGGTTGTGAACCTTAGTAGACTAAGATAGCTTGGATATGTGATAGGCATGTGGAGTAAGCCACCTTCTACCTCGATGTGGCATGGTAACGAAAGGCGGATTAGGAGGGAAAAACTTTCAGGGTGACCAGACCGAGACCTGGTGTCAGTCCACGAAGTCCCTTACTTTTAAACTGAGCCATGCTGAGAAATGTAGTCTGACTGGTCGGGGTTCTTGAAACAATAGGAATCAGTGGTTGATGAGGACTTTTGGTGACATGGCTGAAAATATATCACAGTCGGGTAGATGTATTCTATTCACTAATAAACATCTTTGCACTAAGCTTTATCTTTAAATTGTTTATTCGGGACTTTGATATCACTTCTTTTCTATCCAACTATTCTTTGTCTGCCACAAATCTTTATCAACCTCATTCAACAGCTATAAGAAGATGCCATATGCCAAGTGATCCACAATGGAAAGCTCAGCTCAGTGATGCGTTTGAAGTGAAGTGAAGATAGGAGTAAGACAAGGCTGGCTACTATCACACATGATCTTCCTGGTTGTAGTCCACTAGAATGGATCATGCAGCAAACCGTGAGGAAGGAGAAGAAGGGTGGGTATAGGCCGGCTTGACCGATGTAAAGACCACAAAAGAAGATTTGGATTTCGCTGACGATGATTTATGTCTAATGTCTTGTCACACCAACTTGAAGATCTACTGGCAAAAATAACAAGTTGACAGAAGAGGTGAGGCAGCGAAAACAGGACTGACTTCAAGTGAATTTAAAGAAGATAGAGGTGATGAAGATATCCAACCAACAACAGCATCAACAACACGCACCAATCACCATTAACGTTAGAAACCTAAAGGAGGTTGTCTCTTTCACCTACCTAGGCAGAATCGTTTCAAATACAGGTGGCACAGGCACAGACGAGGATGTCAATCCAGGATCAGAAAAGCAAGACAGGCCTTCCTGCATTAATCTGAAATAATCAGTGTAGAGATCTACTGCATTGCACTCAGCACAAGGAACAAGATCCAGATTTTCAACATCAGTGTCATGTCAGTGCTTCTATATGGTTACGAAACGGCGCGTCACGAAAAGCATTTCCAACAAACTGTAGACATTCATCAACAGCTACCTGCTACTCTCACTCGATAAGGACACTGAAGATAAGATGGCCAGATTAATGAGAATAAGCAACAAGTAAGTCTGGCTGCCAACGAACCAACCGATTAACAGCCTATCGCTCAACAAATATGCAGGAGAAATTGGAGATGGATTGGAGTGGGCATTCACTGAGAAGACCATTCGAGGACACCACGTTACAGGCCAGGCAGTCGAGTGGAAAGTAGATGGGAAATGACGAGTGTGGCGTCCGAGGCGGGGTGACATGGAGGAGATCATGTGAAGAAGAAATGAAAGCTTCTAGGCAGTGGTGGAGCCACAGGTTGCAAAGATTGCAGAGAAGAGAGTGAAATGTCGATGTGCTACTTAAGCCATATGTTCCTTTAGCAACCCAAAGGAAAAATTATCATAATTATTCTTTGTGTATTTGTGTGAAGTGTGGCAACTTGAGCCTGTGTGACGTCAGTCTTATCAAGTAAGATAAGCGTGATTTGGCAGACCGATTTCTTTGGTCCCGGAATGACAACTTGGGCTATGGATACTGTACCAAAAAAGCTACTTAACTGGTAACTATGAGTTCCCTAGTTTGAAATATTCCACTCTGAGAATATTCGAATCATCACATAGTATCAGTATCAAATTGAGTGGGTGTATTCTGAGTGATGTTCAGTGCAAAACGCAAACAATTAATTCAGTGTTAATTTGGCTAACCTAATTAGAGGACATAGATTACCTGAACAACATGATGTACTTGCGCTATACATTTCGGGCAATTTGATCATACATTTACGTATCAAGGCATTACGTATGAAAAGTGGAATTGACGGAAAGACACGTATGACATAAAGGAATTGAGTAATAGGTAATCTGATAAAATAGGCAATAATATACCTTTGTCAGTGATATGTTTTGCAATGGATGGGGATGATGATTGTCTGCCACCTGCGCTTATTGATGTTTGTGAATTTAGCTGCTTTCGTAGCCATTTTGATACATCTTCCCCTACCCTCAAGTGCATATCGCGATTAGTTCTCCTTATGTATGTTTGTCCACACACATATGTAAATTTATAAACGCAGTGTGATGTGAAATCTATGTCCTAATAGAGGTTTGGTCTTCTCAACTACAATAAGCTTAGCTGCTAACAGCAGACCTTAACCTTCGTTTTAATATTGTGCTATTTAATTCTCCTCTGTATGGTAAGTTGTCGTAAACGGATTTCTTCGAAACAGAGTGCAGATTAGGTTTCATTTCTGGCTGATTTCTATAGAGGTTTATGAACTTTAATGGATATCCATTTTCCAATGTTTCAGTTAGTATTTTGATGTTATCATCCATTGAGTCTTCCATTGGAATGCACTGGATCCTTTTTAAGTAGGCGAGTTACCAAACCTCACTTGTATTAAGTTGGGTAAAAGCTATGGAAGCTTAAGTACTGACCTGTCCAAATGGGTTTCCTGTAAAATGACCGTCTATTGAACTATCATTTCTACAGATTAAGAGTATATTCAGGAACGGCAGACGGTTTTCTTTCCCTTCTTCACTTATAAGCCTCATGTTGTTTTGTACGATGCAAAGTCTTCATAACAAAAATGTCGCATCTTCATGCTTATCACATATTACTATTGCATCACCATCATGTTCTTTAGCCCTAATGAGGCTCTGTCGGAATGATTTTCCGATATAATAGACATCACAGTCGACACATCCTAATTTGTAGACATAATTTGTGCACAACCGAAGAGATACAAAGAATTCTGAGACCGCATCGAATTAGGGCGTTTAAAAGACAACCAATAGTTTCAGGAATGCTCTAATCTACGAAAAAGATTAATTTCCTTTTACCTTCACACAAAATTGTGTCTACAAGTTAGGATGTGTCGATTGTGATGCCTATTATATTAGAGAATCGTCCCAGGAGATCCTTATCAATGCTAAATAACGTGCAAGTTACACAAAACGACCACCAAATAATTTTGTAGAACTATAGAGTTTACAAATCAAGTCAGCAATCACAGTTCATTCTGTCATCTGTCACAGTTACAAAATAGATACTGAAGATGTTAAAATTATTCAAAAAGGTCTTGGATGTATTGTGTTCTCTGAGGAGCTGGATTGCTTAATCTTGAAGCTTTTATCGTCTTTTTAGACAGCGACATCATCAGCACTAACTTCAGTATGAAGTGAGCTATCAGTATCTCTCCATGAGTGATTTAGTAGCTTGCCTTGACAATGCGGTCTGTGATTGGTTGTTTCTTTCTATTGTTGTGTCATTGACAGTATAGACTTTCCTGTTGGCTGTTTCTCTGCTATTAAGTCACTCACGGAGAGATACTGACAGCTCACTTCATACTGAAGTTAGTGGTGATGATGTCGCTGTCTAAAAAGACGATAAAAGCTTCAAGATTAAACAACTCAGCTCCTCAGAGAACCCAATACAACCAAGACCATCCACCTGAACTACAAATATTTCCCATTATTCAAAAAGGATTTTCAAAGAAAGAAGAATAGCTAAGGCATTTCACATTAGGAGTTTTATAAACTTCCCATCATATAAATTAGAACAAGACACATAAGCGAATAATATTCTTGCCGATTAGATCCTCTTCAGGCTTTACTCTGATACAAACAGATTTATATTATATAAGTAAACCAATCATATAGATTTGTCGGTTGATGTGATGAATGTTTGAAATAACGATGGAGATAATAATACAAATAACAATAATGATGATAATGATAAAGTGATAACAACAAAGAATAAAAAGTATGTCAATAAATAGTAA